CAAATAAATCTTAATAAGTTTTTGAGCTTGTAGTATTCCTTCCGAAGATACTGTTACCACTAGTGCGTCTTGATAAATTGAACTTTTTGATACCGCAGCGAACGTCAATGGCTATTTAAAAAGTTTATCCAAGATATATAAGAATGTTTTACTATAAATGTACCGCAAGATAGATAATAATAAAATTTTTGATGATACCATACGAAACCACCTTTTGTTGGTCTACCTCGCAAGATAGCTAACTGAATCTATACGTTTTATAGACATAACATAAACAGGATCTTCTATGGCGGTGATATTTTTAATCTTTTCAACGTAAAAGATAAAGATAGAAACAACCTCTTAGTGTCTTCGCCGTATTTCTTTTTGTAGAATCTTACACAGAAAATCGGCAACAAACTCTACACGGGAAAGAAACCTTGAGAACATTATCGAATCACGTAATAAGGTAAAGCCTCTATTGAATGATTCACGTTATTTAACTCCATTAACATTGCACCCACAACGCCTATCCCGCGATACAGCAACGTTAGTTTTGTGCATTCTAAAGTCGAAATGCAAGTCGAGACTCCCATATGCCCGATGATTGCCAATAAGACTGCGAGTGTTAAATTAGTAATTTAAATTTATGTAAATTAAATCGCTGCGCTGCGAGAAAATCCAGATCTAATTGGCACGATGTGCTTCCTCAGTGATTCTTTGGAGATTCCTGCATGATGAGAATACCCGCACTATCAAAAAAAAAGTTGATCCAATGTCTTTCTATTTGGATGTTGTATACCGTGGTTTTCCCATGTTTACGCCTTCTTAGTATAAAACGTCAATAAATTGATAGATTAATAGTCATCGATAAAAAACTGATCTTAGTGTTAGTATTTTAAAACAACTTAGCATTTTTATTAGGAAAATATCCTTAACGCTTAAAAAAGGTACGTCAGCAAAACGGGACTTTTAAATAATTATTATTCATTAGAGACGTTGCTCTAGAATTATATTGGGAACTTTTTGATTTTGATGAAATTTAAATTCTTGAATGACTTCATTCTGTACTTAGTTCATTTCTTCGTTTCTTTCAAGGCTATTTTTTTTATGTATTCAATCCCCCGAAGCTCCACTTCAAAGTTCACTTTTTTCGAAAAGGGTATAAAAGGTGAGTGTTTTTGAGTGGAACATCAAAGGATTATAAGGTAATCAACTACTATTCGGAATTTCACAAGTGGAATTACCACTTTATTGAAAAAAAAAAATTGGATGAGTGGAACTTCAAGCGGTTATAACTTCCTGGATTGGATGATTTTAGGAAATAAGTTTATATAAACTTTTTTCAAATCATTAAAAGAATGTATGCGAGTTCTATGTTGTTAGCATATGCCTAATTTTTTCTGTTATATTACAGATAAATATCTACAACCATCGTATTCATACATTCTACTTTTTGTACCTTTTTCCAAGTTAATCTTACTATTTCGATTTTACATATATTACTTTTAATTTTCCATTTTGTGACCAAGTGATAATTTGTTGCGTTGCTTCCTCAATTTTTTTCATTGTGGTTTTATTGGTTCATCAGTATGATGTGCTTAAAAAAAAATGAGCAATATGGATGAACAATAAGACAGTCTTTTAGTTACTATTTTGTAACTTCATTTAACTTTACTTTGAAGTATTGGCCCTCCAAGTAGAAGCTGCAGATATGTTTTTTGCTAGTTTGTGTAATAATTCTTTTCTTTAAGTTTTGTCATACACATTTTCCGTGTCTAAGCATGCCACTAGCAGCCGCCTTCTATCCTCCTTTCCCCTATGTACAAGCATTGCTAGATTTTCGACTAGCATCAATGCACTTATCTGTCTTTTACAATCATATTGACATTTCGATATAACCTTCTTTTCTTTTAGGAAGCTTGTTGATGTTTAAGAAGCTAATCTTCTGGTTTTCAGGTTTTCTGCTTTCGAGTGTAGTGCTGCTTTCTTCACCGTTTTTCATGTTCTTTAGTATATTACTTTCCGTTCCTTCTTGCTTCTATTGTGACGCTTTTTCTGTCCGCTTTTATGTAATACATGTTACTACATTGTTGCTTTTGTAACTTGTTTGTACGTAAAAACTTGTTCGCAGATGTCGATTATTTTTTCTGCTATTTGCTCATCTTCATATATATCTTTTCGTTCTTTAGCAAACTATTTCCGTTTTCTGGATATTCTCACTTTTTTGTCATAAACCATTTTTTTTTGTCCAATTTGGGGTTTCTTTATTTATCTTTCTACATGTTTCGAGGAACTAGTCCTCATCTCCTCTCTTTTGACATAAATTTATGGCTTGTTATTATTGCAAAATCGTGTTTTTCTCTCTTCACTCCGCTCTTGAGATGCAATCTTTTCACATCATTTGAAATAAGCTCCTCATTAACAAAGGATCAATATTTGCAGAATTGTCTGCATCAGCGAAATATTCTCCCGTAGCTGAACGTCATCTTAAAAAAAAAACTTAATATTATAAGGAGATCGTATTCTCATACAATATACATTATATATACTTTTTAAAGTGTTGTTCAAGAAATATATTAATGAAATGATTTCTCATATTGTTTACAAGTTTTTTCGTTTCCGTTATCGAATGATTAAAAAATTATCTACTAATTTGTCATCGTTTAAAATATTTTTAATCTGATTTAATTTCCATTGGAATTTTCTTTAGAAAAATAAATGATTGTCATAACTCCAAGAAGACAAATTACGTTAATTTCCCAGAAATTCTTGATTTATTTGCTACCTGTGTTTAAAGATTTTGTTTGGGAACAACAAGCAATTTGGGAAAATGAAACAACTCATCTCGTGACTCAATGAAAACAAACATTAAAGGTAAAAGAACTCTAAACGATTTCTTGTTTGTATAAATGTTTTTAAATTCGTATATGTTAAAGTCTTAATCCCTTAATTATATCAAAATAAAAGTGTTGTAACTTTGTGCATTATGCAATTTTCCGGTACTTTGTGATTACGCGCGCATGTTCACACCTTAAGTATACACAGATGGTCCGAGTGTATGGTAATTCGCACTTAAAGCAGCGCTTAAACAACAATTTCGGTTTTTATTTCCGTGGGAATTGGAGGCCGTAGAATCCGATATTTAAATATTTTACCGCTAGATAGCCCGGGTCTGTTTTCCGCTAACGCGAATAATAATATTTTTATTAGCTTATTTTTTTTATAGTGCACTTATCATTTCCATCAAATCTGGTATGAGAGAGAGTCTAAAAAACAGTTAGGCGTGACACGAATGTTCACTTTTGGTAATTGTCGAAAAGTGTATCGCCGTTGGAATTCTAGGTTGTACGTGCACAACGGGGAATTACGACTTCCATCACCTTGTTACCGTCCCATTCAAAGACGTCGTTTTTTGAGAACAATCCCGATAATCGCACGTCGATTAATAATACCTGACGCAATCGATTCAATTGTGTGGTATAGAAAGAAATTGTTATTTCCGAGGCGTTTTCATATCAACCTCGGGCGTTATTGACGCAGTTCCTCTCCAAATTTCAATCCAATTAAGCAAACACCTTGTTTATAACGAAAGGCCAACAAAATTAATTTATTATTATTCATCTTCGATGTTACAACAACTTAATTAAACCGATTCTTTCATTAACAATTAACAGAAAGGATATTTCGCCAAAATAATTACCTTGAAGTTCATGACTTCATAACAAAAAAGATTTCATATTCAAGAATGAAAAGGATATACCATTTGACCTATTGATGCGTCATCACTTTCGTTACTCTAAAATACTAGAGAAGAAATATGCATAAAAACTCGTTTGAGGTGTTACCGTAGGCGACAATCAACCCACTATACGATTCCAAATTTCAAACAGAAATACTTGAATTATTAAACGAACGTGTACAAACGTTGTAAGATAACGGAGGGTTCACACAATCGAGAATAAACTTGGGGTGCCAACAAAAGTGGACGACTGAGTGCGTAATACTCGCGGATTGTATTGATTTTTGTCCCTCGCTATAAAATGGGGGCGTTGAATTGGGGTTATTACACAAGGCGTCTTTACTAACGTGAGATTTTGATTATATTTCTCAGTTTACGATTCTATTTATAAATGATTACATGGAAACCTCCCGGTTTCTATTGAATTCACTATTTATCCTTCAGAACATATAGAAGGTGTATAGGAAATCGGAAACACGAAAGGAATACGGTTTCCATTTAAACGTTGATTCGAAGCGGAAACCTTTCATCTCTACCAGTTAGCTCACTACATACATGTTGTACACTAAAATATTCCTGGGCTAAACTGAATGTATCCGCCGTAGTTTCCCTCTCTTTTTAGTTATTTTCTGAACCGTTTTCCGAGACATAATTACTCGTTTTACGATCAAAAATACCACAAATTATCATGGTAGTCTTTAAAGTATAATTACTTATGGTACTTAAACGATGATGATGAAGAGATGCAGTGATTGTTTGTATTTGTAGACACAAAAAAATGAAACATTGCTTAGGACGTGACTATTTTGCTGTTTATTACATTATTTTTAATTAGTGGAACTTTTATACTCAATTATCTTGTCAACGATACCATAATTTTTTTATTGTTTAAGTGAAGAGTTTTAATTGTTTCTACAAAATACTAAATTTCTACTAAACTTTTTATACCTGAATTGGATGTTTCGCGACTTTTACTGTAAAGGTTAATATGGATATATTTTGATGTGTTGAAAAGTGAAGAGATTGCTGAAGTATAAACAGATATACACACGGAGAGAAGAAGGTATAGGTGTTCTTGAGACGACATCGTGGAAGATCTGCGAGCGGTTCGTCCGCCGACATCAGCAGCACCGGAGCCCGAGAGAGTCGCTCGCCGCATTCCTGGCTTATTTCTTCTCTACCCTCGGGCGGGCCAATCAGAATTAGTCGTGGTAGCACCGGAGTCACCGCCGAAGAGCTTAGCGGGGCCATTCCCCCGCGCCCAGACTATTTAAACTCAAGTCGAGGAGCTTCGCACGAGTTCACTCCTGGTCGGTAATCCGTCAGTTCGCACACACAACACAGGACGAAACGCCCGGCCGGCCGCCACTCAGTCGCTGGCTGCTGCTGCTTCTTCTTCTTTGCTCCTTTCCGCACTTCTGTGTCTACCAGCAGTCGAATACGACGTATCCTGCCAGCACAGTTTGCCAGAACATCCAGTGAAGTGAAGGCGCGATCTACCGCGAGCACCAAACAACCCTCTGGGTTTTCTGAAAACTTAGTTATTCCTGCAACACAGAGGACTTGTGATTTTATCAACTCAATTTTGAGGAACTTAGTGATTCTCTGTGATTCGATTGATTCGATTTGTCCTGCAGCCCCGCTGTGGTTTCGCCGCGTGAATACGTATAGAGGTAAGTTCTTTACTTCAATATAATCATTTCGGTGAGCACTTAACCGGCTTCGTATAGAAATCTCTACCAATGTCATTAGTGCGACTTCATCGACTTTTCAAATACAGACATTAAAGCAAATTATTTAATGTAAAATTTTAACATAAAATTAATTACTACATTTATCATTTTGCAGAAAATGATTTTAGCAAAAATGGGGTTTCAAAAAAAAGTCTGTTTTCTTACTGTTAGATTTTTGAATATTTAAATTGTATATTGTAAAGAAATTGTTTGAAATTATTCGTGTCAATAATTAAGTATCAGTAAATTTCAAAATATTTTCTAAAATTGCCAAAACAATTTGTTGCAGATTGGAGCTTAAAAAGCTAACTTTTCAGATACAGACATTAAAGCAAACTATTTAATGTGAAGTGATAACATAAAATTAATTGCTACATTTATCATCTTATTGCAGAAAATGATTTTAGTAAAAATGAGATTTCAAAAAAAAATCTGTTTTCTTACTGTTAGATGTTTGAATATTTAAATTATATATTCTAAAGAAATTGTTTGAAATTATTCGTATCAATAATTAAGTAAATTTCAAAATATGTTCTAAAATTGCCAAAATAATTTGTTATAAGGAGCTTAAAAAGCTAACTGCAGTATATTTGTAATAATAGTGTTAATTCCCAAAAAATATTTTTTTATTTTATTCATTTTGCAATAAAAGTTCAAAATTTTTATGTAAATATAAAACTTAAAACATTAGAACTTTATATTTATGAAATTTTAGTTATTTTAAAATAATGAAATTATGAAAATATTTGAAAATTGAAAATAACTTTGTAAATTTTATTAAGAGAATTTGAAGAAAATTTAGTTTTTGTGATAAAAATAACATATTTAAATGTAATTTTTGGGTCAATTCTTCAACGGGCCCATTGTGTCAGTTTCGTAAGTAGACCGGCTTTTATTCGGAAACTAAAGCGGAGCAACGGAACCGGTATTAAAACTGTTACAGAGGATCGCCATAAATCAAGTCTTAAATATTTCAAGCGCCGACCGGACACTATAAAGCGTCTTGTATAATAATTGCACAAAGTATCAGACTGTCGCGTCGCTTTGAATACTAAATGTGGAGAATTCCATAGACGCCCGTTCCTAGTAGAATATAGGAAAGAATTTATTTTTAGCCCGTGGGAACTCGTCGATGTTTGACTTCTTCCACGGTCGCCCAGATGCATTGGTAAATAGTACATAGGCTCTCGGTCAGTTTACTTTGCCCACTGACATTGTCTCTACTCAGCCGCGACTGGTACACTTATCGGTCTTCACAGCTTCTTTCGTTCATCTCTTATTCTAGTTATTTACACAGGAGTTCTTTGCTTTGCTTTTTTGCTCCATCTTTTTGTGTCAACTGGCCTCCGCCATGTACAAAAAGATACCAAAGCACACTCCTCCTCGTCAAGAGACTTCGGCTTCGTTTTGAAGCCAACGTACTCTGCGTTATGCGCGTATATCCTATACATATATACCTTCGACTATTAACGACGTTTCTTGGAATAATACCGATTCTTATGAAAACGTAATCTTAAAATTCACGCAGTGTACCGTTTTGGAGAAGACAATAGATATTGAGAAATGACCAAGATGGACCGAGGGATGATAAATCACGTTTTAATGGACGAAAACTTTCGGATGCCGCAACGTGAAGCGCAAACGCGTGACATTTATTCCGGGCTGTAACATTTAAGACACAACGGATAATTGTCTTACCGCCTAGATGTGCCGGTCGATGCGTTTCTAAATATCACACCAAATCGGTTCCATACGGAATTAGGGTTAATTAAAATCCTCGCGATACCGATCTCTGGACTATTTTAATGACGAAACAACTAAATTGATTTGATCCACTCGTATTTCGATTACAAAGGAACAAAATTAAGTTCATCAACTAGGTCACACAAATTGAATTGAAATTATCTTTCACATAAAATGATCTTTATTCAACATCATCAGCTTAACAAAAAAATATTCTTTTGCATCATTAATTTAATGTTTTAGTTTAATTCAATTCCATAATGTTGGATTTCCCCAGTTGAGATAATCTTTGAATCGATTATTGAATCAATGTCGTCATCTTGGTCAAGTTCAGGCGTGATTATCTAAGAGCGCGATTTCGCATTTCCCCGGTGAATCAGAACTGAGTGTGGCCTGGTGCCATTGACATTGGCCGAGGCGCGTTCCACAAACGCGACGACGTACGCGTTGTCCCCCCCAGGTCGTAACCGCTCGGTTTCGTAACGAACAAATGGAAACAATCCATCGGGACCGTTGCCATCTCTCGCCCAGTGAAAGGTGATAAAAGACGCGAACGGTAAGCAACGCAATCTCTGCTGCAGGACCGGCTCCAACAAAATTTTTGTTCTCATGCACCTGTCGACTCGTTTATTAACGATTGATTTGCACATTAATAAAATTATATAATGACCAAGTCGTTAAATATGAGAAATAAATCATTATGAATTCACGGAAGTCTTTAAAACATTCTTAATTTTGTATGGAAGAGTAATCGTAAATTTATCAACGAATAAGAGAATTACAGTAACAGTTGAGTTAAATGAACATGAAGAAAGTTCTCACAATAATTGTAAATTTTTGTTTGAAATTATAATCCTTCCTCGTCGTTTCATAATGTTCCCGTGGCGCAGTTCAATATCGAGGTTGCGGTCGCAGAACGGCCGGCAATAAACAAACGAAGGCATCTCTCCCATAATGGAGCGATTTTATAGAGGAAGTGATTTGTAGCAGATACCAAAGGAGAGACATCCATTGCCATGATACATTTCGCAACGGACCCGTTATCTGCCGCTCTTTGAAGTCGGCACGTTTCTCACGACGTCGGACAGGATCATGGCTTTTTCCGCAATCGCGGCCAATGTTGGCATTCCTCGGGCACGTCACACCCTGTATATTCCGTCGGGAATGAAACGACACCTTTCCGAAAGGAAATGTCAAATGGACATCGTTCAAGCTGCTTCAGCTATTAAGCTTTTTGTGACAATTATCATAAAGAGGACGTGAAATAATCACACTTTTGAGACCTTGACATAAATTGTTCCGGCTCAAGGCGGGTGTTTGTGGTAATAATACTGCTATTAACTTTATTACACGTTATTTAATAATGTCTTGAACGATTTTCAAATCCCGTTCTTTTTTTTTATAAAAAATTAAATCTTATTAATAACAATAATGTTACTTTAGATTACTTATTAACAGAATAATCTATATAAATCCAGAGTTTATATTACCTCGGCTACAGCTCATTGTCTTACTTAATGTAGCGTAAAATCAATAAGTTATTTCGTACTTATCTCACGTTATTTTATACACAAACAGTCTTTTTACGTTCCTTTTAAATTCGGATTAATCGTTTATTTTATAATTAAAAATGTGATAGAACTTTCGTTCAATAACTCAACCGTGGGTAAGTTTCATATTATAACACATACAAAGTTTAGTAGGTCTATAGCGTGTCGAAGCGTGGCCAATATTGAGAAATTGAAACCTCTCATACATGCCAACCTACCTTTTATGCAATCGCATCCTTTCACGTCACTTTCCGACTTCACACTTTCAATGTGGGCTTTCTCGCCCGCACTTTCATTAATCGAAGCAATACAATCCAATTACACCGATGATTTATCAACAATTATAACTGACGCTAGTTTTTGTTTGGTTATCTGAGAACAAGAAGACGGTTACGGCTAGTTACTATGGTAATTCAAGAAGACAAAATGAAATTCCAAGGTGGATTAATAGCCGATGAATGCAGGATAGGTCGGAAGACAAAAGAACCGCTTGATTTGATTGTATGTACCAAGTGGTTTATGGTGGTCTTTGTACGGGTGGTCTTAAATCGGTTTTGCAACGATACCGCAGCGGCAGACTGAAGGATGTCATCTCGCCGATCTGGGACCGGATTACAATACCATTGTCATTCATGTATGTAAATACATACGACACCTGTAGAGGCTGAACTCGGATAGCGATCCAAAGTCAATTTAAATTTGCCACCACCGCGTTACGCGCGCAATTCGTTTCCATCGTTCGTTGGAATTATGACCGTCCCAACAGCACGCTTCGAGCTAATTGGTCGTTCGTTTTATCATCGTTGAGAATCTACCTCCTTAATATTTAAATTGCACTCGGTAATTTCATTTCGCTCGGATTGCCATTGGCGCTGATTGATTCCCTTGTTGGCACCTGCCCGGTAGCTGTTCACGCTATTATGGAAACATGATGACAAATAGGATTCTTATCGTCGCTCGTAAGTTATAACTTATGACCGTTATTAAATACAGGATGGAGATCTTGTACATAAAGCAATTAAGTCGTTGCAGAAAACAACCAAGACAACAATCTTGGTAAATTGAAAATAATTCAAATAAAATCTCAATAAAGATTATAATTTAAAGAAAATTTGAACTCCAGAGGTAACAAAACATCGAATTCCAATAGAGTATAATAAATATGTAGCGTCCAGGTGAAGAATCCGCGTCGGTTATTATGTGCCGGCGTCGTTTCGCTTTCCTAGAAGACGTGAACACTTGCATCGCAGAATACGGTAATGGTCAGTGTACTGTTAATATTGACCTTGGCGTTGTTCTCGTGTGGCCATCGTCGGTCGAGAACTGCAAGAAGAGAAAACGTCGGTGCGGTCACCGCCAGCTAATCCAATGCTGAATTACACGTGGTTACGTCGATATTACGTCAAATTATACAGATTATCGATGCTGTACCCGCTTATCCGAGTAGATCTGGTTAAAAATTTCCATCCTACAAGATTATGCGCTTATTGTGGACCATTCGGTACTCATCTCAGCTTGTTTTCTCAATATCACGTTGGGTATTGGATGGCTGGAAAGTATATTGTACACTAGGGGTTTATGAACTGTGAAACTATTTAAGAACCTGAGGTAAACGCTTTTATGGCTTCTATAAAGTCTTGAGATAAATTATAAAAGCCTCTTCAACAATGAAAAATATTAAACGCACAATACTTTTTGTTTACACAAAAACATCTCTTTTTTAGAAACTAATAAATCGTGTAGCAATAAACAGAGTATTTGAAATTGTGATTGTTTCTCTTGTAACAATTTTCGAAGTTGTTTGTATGACTATAACGTTTTATATTGTTTAACGATAAGGTCATTTAAAAAACGTTGCGAAATTACCCGCAAATAAATAATTAAAAGAAAAAAAAATAAATCACAGGAATGTCTATTCAGTGGTTGTAGTCAAATCGGTAGTAGCAAACGTGGTGTAATGTAGCGACGAAAGGTGTTGTCGTGTTAACGACACTTTCCTATTATAAACGTTAAATTGTGTAGAAAATGCACGCGATATGGCTGAAACAATCAACTGGCCAGTGTTTGCGGTGCATAACAAATCATGCGAGGCATTAGAATTCAGTCGACCGTCGAGCACAAAATTGATTCCGGGCATATCAGCACGTACAACAATTTTAATAGAATAAAATAGACGGTACGCGATACCCAACGGGAGTCGGAATTAAGTTCCAACACCCGAAGAGACTTCATTGCGACGTTTGCAACTCGAATTTTGAGCTCATTGAGGATTCAGCGCGAATTCCGATTGCTTGTAACTCATTAGACATGAAAGGAGGGTCATGTATGTAGTACACGAGTGGGCATCGTGTAGGAATACTAATAAAGAATACATAAGTGGATTATAAAATTTGCATTGTCCTTATTTTTATCCATACCACGATGTCACTGTGTAAAACTTTATTTAAAAATTATCCTCAATTACAACTTAATAATTTATAAGTCTTGATCATAAAGCACTTGATGGCGAATTTAACGGCACAAGTTAATTGTTTTATTTATCGCAATCTATTGCGCTTTAATTATCTCATGGGAAACTTCGAAGACAGGATTTTACAATACAATTAGCTCATGGTACCTTCTTAATGACTACATCTCAATTCACATAATTAACATTGATTGTGGGTATAAAGCGGAAAGTAGAGTAATACATTACCAATAATTAATGGCATGAATGTCAAGTGTTTCACTTGTCAAGTTTCGGAACATATTGGTAACTTTACACTGCGTAAAACTGAATGGTTAGGTAATATAACATCTGCCTCTTACACATTATCTAGCCACATGGTGGCGTTAGCGCACGTATCGGCTGGCGACATACCAGATTTCTCGAGAACCCATCAGGAAATGCGTGTCTGGCGTAGGCAAAGAGAACTGTTCTCGTGTTACGAGGTACCTAGCGACATGTGTTTAAGATAATTATTGCCCTGTCTATAGAAAAATTCATTGAAACTTAACCGAAACATTAATAAGCACGATGAATACATCCGCTCAGATATAGTGTTCGTTTTTAATGGATTCGACCACTTAAAGCAACACAACACTTCGTTGAGATTAATTACTAAGAATGATTGAAAATTTGAGTTATAATATATAAACATATTTTATTTTTTTTTACTTAAGGGTAACGGCAGACATTGTCAGATGCAAATTGGCAAGGTTCGACGGCCACATCGCCATCAATAGACCGTATCGAATTTGACGAATGCGCAAAACCGACTCAGAGTCGGCGCTCTGAAGTAGGTGAACAATGTGCAAGTGTGATACAACGAAAAAGTGGGTTGAGGAATTTTAATTGAACTATACAAAGACTCCCGTCATGAACGTCTTGTTTGTATAAGACGAGTACGCGACACGCGCTTCAGACGTCATGACACATTTTGATTTTTTTTCTGTACCGTTACCGATGGATCTGCCGAGTTATAACGTTGCACCGAACAAGGTTATTGATACATTCGGAAAACTTTTTGCAAAAAGTATTGTACAGTTATGTACAGTTATATCTATAATCAAATAAAACAAGTATTGAGCTGTTAATTAGAAAATATTTTCTTGTCGGGAATTTATTATAAAGAAAGAATAGACACTATAATTGATATTGTTCTTCCTACTAGTAATAAAACATAATCATTTATAGCTACGTTCGCCTATAAGAGAATTCTCACGATTAAATATAATGTTTGGCGACATTTCAGGAATTAATTTAAGTTGAAAAGCAATTACCGTTGATTCTCACCTCCTAAAGCCAGCAACTGCAATTTAAAACCTATTATCCATACGAAATTACAAGCCGGTTGAACCATTCCTTGTCATTATGCCGTTGCGTCAATTCGATTTAAGATGCATTCGAACTATAGGAAGTGCGTGCACGTTTTTACTCCTTCGTTATATGATTGAACTTACAACGAATAAGCAAAAATCTTCATCATTATGTCACAATATCTATTATGAAATATTACGTTATTAATCTGGTGAGAATAGATATATTGTTGATTGATTTAAAAGTTAAGATTGAAATTATACTTTATTTTCCTGGAAAGGTAGTTTCCGTTATAGCTCAAAAAAATATACAATATTCTAGTGCTGAATAACAAATAAAACTTAGTAACTAACACTAGAGCTAGAACTAGACACACGATTAAACCCGATACTTTCTAGTATCGTTTCCGTTTAGCGCTAGTTAGCTTAAAAAATCACTATGTTGTATATTTTTATTGAACTAAAACTAGAACTAACACTAGAGCTAGAACTAAGACAAGACCTAGAACTAGAATAATTCGGGTTTAGCCGTCTTGAGAGACGTGCGGCTAAATTCGAATGTTTCTAGTTCTTGGTCTAGTGTTAGATCTAGTTTTACACTATCACTAGAACTATCACAAGACCTAGAACTAGAATCATTCGGGTTTAGCCGTCTTGAGAGACGTGCGGCTAAATCCGAATGTTTCTAGTTCTCAGTCTAGTGTTAGTTTTAGTGGCAGTGGTAGCTGGCGCTAGTTAGGATAAGATATTACTATGTCGTATATTTTTATTGAACTAAAACTAGAACTAATATTAGACCTAGAACTAGAAAATATCGGGTTTAGCCGTGTTTAACGGTTTTAGCCGAATAAAAAAATAGAGTATAGTTTCGGTTAAATTCATCGAAGAAGAAAAAAAAAATAAAATACCGATTCGTAGTAAGCCAATTATCGTACTTCTCACAAACCGTATTCGAAAACTACTCCGTCATCGAGAACCCTCCAAAATTTCGTCGAACTCCTCTCGAAAGACTCTCAACGCATGACTTACTTCCGATACAGATCGCTAATTACCAAACTCCAACAAAAAAAACTTGACGCGATCGTCCAGGTGGCATTTGTAATTCAGAACAATTAGATCTGGACGAGCGGAAATGAAATGTTCTCTTAAAAGAACGTCAAGGACCTTGTTGACGAGTCAGCGAAAACACGACAACGAACCTTCTTGATGTTAACGTAATAAGAAAGAATTAAATATAAATTATTTTTGTTTATAATAATATCCTTATTAAAATAATTTATTTGTTACAGGACACGCCATGGCGGCGTGGGTTACAGGGCTTCCGGCCCTGGTTCTTATTGCGGTTTCATTCCTACCGTCTTCAGTTCTTAGTGGTAAGTACATTTTTATTAAATAATAAAATTGCGGTAAAACGTTTTACAACAAAAAAAAAACTTAAAAGTAGTAAAGTGATACCATGATAGCAAAGAAACGTTAAGATAAATCGAGACATTAGGGCAACCGCATTTGTCGCTCGATCTCTAAACAACGTAGGCGCCTTGGTCCTTTTACAGAAGATCGTCAGTGACCCGCAGCTACGGAAAATCTTGGTTGTGGAAGCAAGATCCATGGAATAGATGGAACGGGACGCGTAGCGAGAGAATAACGGCGCCACCTGTGGCCAATAAATCGTGCCAATCAAAGGCGTGCAGATTCCGTAAGTCGAAGCGGGAGCCGAGGCTCCGTAATGAGGCTTGGATTCGCCAGTGGTGAAATTGAGCGTTTGGTCTGTTTTATTACCGATCGTAAAAGTCCGAGCGGTACTTCCTGCTAATACGAGAAATAAATAAAAAAAAATAATTGGGAAAACAAAACTTTGTTCTACCTACCGACAAGGAAATAGAGAACTGCGTTTAAGTAAACAAAACGATTTTATGTAACAAGACCATACCGTTAGGAAACTACAGATAAGCAAAGTTCAAGTACGCGGCTGCGTACAGTAACAATAGGTGCGAAAATGAACTACTATAAATCCTACGCCACTAATGACAATACCGTGTGTGTGCGACCGGACGAATATGATCATATTGTGCGTCTCCGCATCACGCAAAAGGTTATTAACTTCCCAAGCAACGAAAACCAGAGAAGACGTACCCGTTGTGTGCTGGAAATTCCGGTTATTGTACCTGCAGCGTTCGAACTTCGCAGGTCACAACCAGTTGGCTTCCCACGCGTTCACGATTAAGTTAAACGTTATTGCATATTTTTTCAGAACACAAAAATTTTCCAAAACAATTTTAATTAACATAAGAAAATATTTTTATGTATTTTACAAAAGCATTAATAATACCAAACGAATGAATTTATTCAATAGCCAAATATCCACAAAGTCCCGCTGTTTGCCCTCTTTCTAGCAACAGATGGCACATGCGCTGAACCAGTTTTATGCTTAGTCGGATTTCAGCATCTTTTGTTTTTATATACTTCAGGGAAACGGTGCTCGTTCGCTTTTCCAACGGTCACGTCGCATATGGTAACTATAAATATGCGGAATCACCCACCACTATTATCAATATTTATGTCACCTAGTTCACAACCTTTTTGATTTCGTAAAAATATTTCACGTAACCTATTGCTCTTTTCGTTTCGACAGCCGGTAATTCAATGTAAATGATCAAGCTGAGACACATGTAAAACAAAGCTGGATTATTTTGTTGACCGCTCAAGAACGTTTAAGAGTTACGATCCTATTGTTAGGATCACCTTGTCATAGGTTAATTTTAGTAACGATCAAGTGTGATTCAGAGAAATCGAAGTTTGTCTAAGAATTTAGAACAGTTTCGTTACTACATAAAATGACCTCACTCTCCAAAAAACAATGAAAATTGTTTTATTCAACCTACATTGTTTGCCTACACTTTCTTTCTTTCACCTTCTTCTGCTTTGAAATTACTACATAAACAAACAAGAATTATTACACATCAAGATTTATAAATCGTTGATAAGAAACGTTCGCAAATTACAGATTACTAAGTAGTTTATAAAAGTATAATTTATTATTAATAGGTTCGTTTGGCAATCTTCCTGGTTCAAATTAAATATCGTTAGTTACATATGAGTACTAAGCTGAATTCTCCAATCTAGTGCGTGTATAACCAACGAACCGTTGGTTAACTGTAAGTAAGATTCGCTGTATCCACACGCGCTGTTAGCGTAATTAGCAAAAATTAACACTTTGAAAAACCGAGCTGTATTGGCTCGACCTAATCCAAGAATAAGTGGATATGATAAATACGAACATTAATAATCGTTTATTCCCTTTAATCTCGATAAACGACGTTGGTTTGTACAATTCAAGATATGGTAAAGTGTTTAAAGAAAATCGTTTAATGACTACCTACTTATGGCCAAGCAATTTTTGCGGTGAGCTATAAGAGTTCGACGACCGCAAGAAGATGGCCAACACGAAACTGGACTTACCAGTTTGCGCTGTCTGGGCAAAGGACCTCTTTGCATAATACAGGACATTAGCAGTGGTAATTGTTCTCGTAAATTTTGTGGTTCTCGAAAACATCGTGTCAATCATCTCATATTTCGAGGAATATCATGCCAGCAGTAAGATGAGTAGAACATGATCGCCAGGTTTTTTATCCGTTTAATTATACAATTAGATAAGGTGCATTAGGCGACGGCCGGCGTCTGTAGGAACGGGAGAGGTCGTTACACGCCGTTTTACGACAAAGTAATATTTTCAAACACTTTCCATTAGCATAGAATAGTCCCGGCCGCCACCGAGAAGCATAGTGTAATTTATTTCCATAAGGAACACCTGTAGAAACATCGCTAAAATTCATTCGCAATGACTCAGTGGGTAGATTGTTTTATTATGCAGTCGTACCACTCCCGCCTGGCCTTGTGTGAGCCAGTGACCTACGGTTGCCCCACTGTCACACATCCATCATTTTAGCACTTATCCCAACGTTAACGTCTGTCTTCTTGTCTTTTCAGCTCCCGTCATCGAGCACAATACCGAAATGGATACGTTTTACCCCGGTAAGTAATCATCTGTAATAAAAATTTATTTGTTTAAATTAAACTAGAAAATAAGATTTATTTTATTGCATCAATAATTAGTTAATAAGTTTAATCTTAGAACTTAGATTACATTGCATGTCGCTATCATTACGTTGAACCTTTCCCACTTTCCTTCGGGCATGAAAATTCTATTGGCATCAATTGCTTCCTACCTTAATCAAGACCATCGTAACCGATCTATACTGTCATTTTAACCGTGCTTGCAGTTGCGGACTCTACGGGATGCTATTACAATCTCCACCATTACGATGAAGGAGACCGAATAATAACGAACGAACCTTGCTTGAACTGCACTTGCCACAATCGAATGCTAATGTGTTACCTGCGAGTCTGTCCGTTTATCAAGAAGATTGGAGAGAACTGTAGAGAGGAGAAACGGCCGGACCAGTGCTGTCATGTTATTACCTGCCCCGAAGGTAGGTAGTTTACGTTATTCAGCCGCGGTCACGCGCATTTAGATCATTAGATAGGTTAGTTTAACTGGACCTCTTGGGAATGGGCTGTATTAAGCCGGCGTACGGTTCTCCGAGAGATGTTTACTTTCCTATTCCCATAATCCTATCGGCGTCCTTAATCGAACGAAATTTATTATTCGCAGTCACAGTCCCGCTGTTGACGGGATCCAGCGAATCCAGTGACAGCGCAGTTGGACACTTAGATACTTACGGATGCGTCATCGATAGGCTTTTTTATGCTGATGGCGCCAGAGTACCTTCCGATCCCAACAAACCGTGCGAACTATGCTACTGCATCAGGAATAAAACCGCATGCGTAATGCAAGAGTGTACGCTGCACATCGAAGGCTGTAAACCTGTTTACCAAGATGGTGTATGTTGTCCTGTCCGATATGATTGCGGTAAGTACTATGACCAACCCTAAACCATCAAGTGTCAGCTTATAAATCGTTTCAGACCACCCAGAAATTACGACAACGACCACTACAACAACTACAACCACTACTACCACGACCACTACAACACAGGCACCGTTGCATTTACCAGAAAACGCCAAGTATTGTATATATAAAGAAGAAAAATACGCAGACGGAGCTCTCATCAAGAACGACGTTCCTTGCGAACACTGCTACTGCATGAAGGGCGACATCGTGTGCGCAGTACAAGAATGCAGTCCCACTCCATTGGACAAAGTGAATTGCACTCGTCTTCCGCCAAAAGAAGGACAGTGCTGTCCGGACACGTACGACTGCGAATATATCTCTGAAGAGGATCTCACGACCACTTACCTTGAATTCACGACGCCTGGTTACGTAACGGAAACCGAAAGAGAAGAATTTATCAATTATACAAGAAATCCTGAGGTCGAACGTGTCGAAGACGACGTTTCGGCGGAGGAAGTATCCACCGAAAGTATACCAGAAAAAGAAAAGGAGGTAACACCCCCAGCTTCAGAGGAAAGCAAGAAAGAACAAGAAAATGAATTACCAGAATCCGAAAGTGCAAGTCCACCGGAGGAAAATGCAATCCCAACCACATTAGCTACTAAACCCGAAGACACAATTACTACTACAACTGAGAAGAAACTTGAACTAATTCCTAAGGTTGATAAATCCCAAGAAGAGGGAATAGATGACAGTTACATACCGACAAGTATACCAGAAGAAGAATCACCAAGTGAATCTCAAGAAACTAGCGATGACCGTTCAGAAACACCATCCTCAGAAGTAGATGAAAAAGTGAAACATGACACTACTAGTGCACTTCCGGTTGATCAAACCGATGAAATAAAAGAAAATCTTACTGAAGTACCACAAAAAGTCGAAGAAGCTGTAAGCGAAAATGCTGTGCCACACGACGATTATGAACCCACAGAAGTACAAACAGATGTTCCACTTGAACATAGTGACTCTCAAAATGAAATTAATCCTGAGGAAGAAGACACCCCAGCAGTGCATGATGAAGATTCTGCTCCTGGTTCCGAAGATGAAGAGTCAAAACAGAAACCCACAGTACCAACAGAACACACGATCGAAGATCATGAAATTCATACAGATAAACCAGATTCTTCATCACGCATACCAAGTTCTGATGATCAAATTTTGGAAACAACTGAAAATGTATCACCGGACGAGGAAACGGTACATCCTGAAAGCACACCGCAACATCAAGAAACACCACAACCTGAAGTAATTTCATTGACGGAAGAATCTCCAAAATTGGAGGAGACCTCACAGCCGGAAGACACACAATTACCAGAGAAGACTGTAAAACCTGAAGAAACTCCAGAACGCGAACAAACTCCTCAACCGGAAGAAACTCCAGAACCCGTACAAACCTCCCAACCTGAAACTTCACAACCCGAACAACCTTCTGAGCCTGAAGAAACTCCGGAACCCGAACAAACTCCTCAACCTGAAGAAAATCCTCAACCTGAACAAACTTCTCAGCCAGATGTCACACAACCCGAACAAACACCTCAACCTGAAGAAACACCACAACCCGAACAAACATCTCAACCTGATGTACCACAACCTGAACAAACTCCTCAACCGGAATCACCACAACCAGAACAAACTCCTCAACCTGAGGAAACTCCTGAAGTCGCAGTAACACCAAAACCAGAAGAGGTGCCCGAATCGGAAATAGTTCCTCAAACTGATAAAACTCCAGAACTGGATGAACATCCTCAACCCGATAAAACGCCTGATGAAACTTCCCGGCCTGAAGAAACACCTGATCTTGAAGCAACTCCACAACCCGAAGAAATGTCTTACACCGAATCAAGCCCACAGCCCGAAGAAACTCCTAAATCTGATGCAACGTTACAACCTGAAGAAGCACCTCAACCCGAAGAATCTCCTAAACCTGAGGAAATCGCACAACCTGATGATTCAACACAACCTCAAGAAACATCTGAACTAGAAGGAACGCCTAAACCTGAAGATACTCCACAAACCGATGAAACAACTCAACCTGAAGATGTTCCTAAACACGAAGAAACACTTAAACCTGAAGAAGCGCCTGTACCAGAAGAAACACCTAAATCTGATGAAACACCTCAACCAGAAGAAACAACTGAACCTGAAGAAGCGTCTCAACCTGAAAAAGCGCCTCAACCCGATGAAGCGTCTCAACCTGAAGATACGCCTTCACCTCCAGAAACTCCTACGGATACAGAAACGTCTCAACCTGAAGTAACTGCTACACCTGAAGAAACACCTGAAACTGACAAAATACCTCAATCTGAAGATAGTCCTAAACTTGAAGAAGCACCTGAATCGGAAGTAACACCTCCACCTGAAGAAGCACCTCAAACTGATGAAACACTCCAAACTAACGAAACACCTCAACCCGAAGAATCTTCTAAACCTGAAGAAACTCCAAAATCTGAAGAAGCACCTCAACCTGACGAAACAACTAAATCTGAAGAAATACCTGATGTTGAGGAAACTACTCAATCTTTAGAAAGTCCACAACCAGAAGAGACCCCACAACCAGAAGAAACTCCACAACCAGAAGAAACTCCACAACCAGAAGTAACTTCACAACGACAAGAAACTCCACAACCAGAAGAAACGACTCAACGTGAAGAGACACCTGAAGAAGAATCCAATGTAAACGAAATTCCTCAACCCGAGCAAACACCATCTTTAGAAGAAGCTGCACAAACTGAAGAAACCTCAAAACTACCCGCATCAGAAAATGTGACACCAGAATCTGAGCAAACCAGTCAACCCGCGGATTCGTCGGTTCATCCTAGTGATGATCACAAACCAACAACCTTAAAAACACTGCTTTCTGATGAAGATTTAGTTACTCCTGTGTCAGATTCCCACAAATCTGACGAGACAGAAACCACTCAGAAAGAAGGAGAAGCAGAAACACCAACTGAAGCACTTCCAGAGAGCCATGTTACTCCAGACGAAGAAGAACAACCTGAAGAGTTGAATAAGGTTACACCTGAACAGGCAGAAACTACTACTACTTCAACACAGAAAGCAGAAATATCAGAAAATGAAATTCATGATGAAACTAAATTGCCGGTCATTGCATCAACTGAAGGAAAAGTTGAAGTTGAATCTTCTACGCCTTCTTTATCTACAGATTCTGCCGACGAAATTCACCCTACAAATGCTGCAAATGAAGAAACGTTTAAAGAACCAGAACAAGAAAAAGAAGGAGTAACTGAACCAGAAGCTGGTGAAAGTGAACCCAGTCATGATGCTAAAGGAGATAATGAAGAACAAGAATTAACAGATAAACCCGACAAGGAATATACAACATTAACACCTGGGCATTCCGAGATACCAGTTGAAACAGAAGATCAAACGAAGCCCGAAGAAACTAACTTACCAGATGATAATATTACTCCTTCATTAGAAGAAGATATAGATTCAACAAATCTAAGGACTAATATTCCGGTCGAATCTTCCACCGAACAAGTAACTGATAAAGAATTACAATTGCCGGTAGTGACAGAATTGCCATCCGTAGAAGATAGTGAGAAATCTGCCGTATCAACTGATAAGCCTGATGTTGTGGATGAAACAGAGGAGGAAACTGAATTACCGATAATAAAAACAGAGCAACCAAGTGTACATACTGAGAAAACTGTCACACCAGCAGAAGAACAGGAAACTGAGGGATTACTTACGGCTACTGAAAAAGAAATTGAAACTGAACGACCAATCAAACCTGAAGAATTACCTGAAAGTGAATCCCAACCAGACAAACATATTCCGATCACTGAGGAAGTTGACACAAAGAAAGACGAAGAATTAGAACAGTCAACCGAAGAGCGTCAACCTGTAACAAGTGAACCAGAAAAAGATGTGGAACCTGAGAAAATTGATCAATCATTGCAAGAACCTATACAAACAGATGACGTTACACTTGAAGCTGAACCTAGTGAGAAACCACATGAAGCAGAAGAAGTTTCTAGTAGTATACCGTCAGATATTGTTCCACAGCAACCCGAGGAGCCTTTAGAAAAAGCTACTATAAAACAAGAGAGCGAACAACAGCCTACAGAAAGTTCTCCTAAAATACACGATGAATCTGTAGCAACATCATCGGAACAACCTGAAAATATTCCAGAGGTAGCTACCGAGGAAGAAATGATGATATATACAGATGGTCCTCATCCTACAAGAAAACCAATAGAATCTATGGATCATGTCACCGAAGTGCCAACAGAGTTGGTGAAACAAGATGAATTACTAACACCAGAGGAACCAATTGAGGAAACTGTAAAACCTGTTGTAGAAGAACTTCCTAAAAAGGAACCTCCCTCATTAGACGCTCATTGCGAAAATGGAGTTTGTGTTATTGAAGGAGAGAAGGTACCTGTATTGATACCGGAAGTGCAACCATGCCCGGCGGGTGCCGTTTGTGGTGATCATCCCGAAGTTATTCCAACGGAAGTAGAGCCTTGCCCGCCAGGAGCTGTATGCGAAGTAACTGTTCCTGAAGTCATTATTCCTCCAGCGTTGTGTCAACCAGGATCTGGAACGGGTTGCGATTCAGCACCAGTAGTTCCTCAGGTAGATGACTGCCCACCAGGAGCTGTGTGTGAAGTACCACAACTCCCATGTACTTCAGATAAATGTGAACAACCAACGCAACAAACTCCAGATTCTGAGAGAAAGGACCCAGAACTAGAAGCACCTCATGTTATCACGTCAACTTTCGAAGAAAAACCTACAACTCTTCAACCATCTGATGAGTCTACAGAAGTACCCACAACGGTTAAATTAATAGTACCGGAGACAGAATCAGAATCCATTCCAGAAGAAGAAAAATTAACAGAAAAGCCAGCCGAAAAACCAGTAGAAGCTAGTACTGATGAATCAAGTAAACATGCTGAAGTTCCAGAACTTGCATTAACTACAGAAAAGTCGGAAGAACCAAAAGAGACCACTGAATTACCAGTGCAACCTGAAAAGTCAAAGCCAGAGGAAGAGGAATTAGAATCAGAAGAACCTGAAACAGCAACAAAAGAGGGAGAAAAAACGAGTGAAGAACCTGAACAAACAGGTGATGAATCTGAAAAAACTGCTGATGAATCTGAAAAGACGACTGAAGAACCGGAAAAATCGGTAAAACCAGATGAAACACCGGAGAAGCCTTTAACACCAACTGAAACACTTTCGGAAGAAGAACCAGCTCCCGTTTCTGAAGAAGCCAAGCCAATCTCTGAAGAACCAACTGTAAGTCAAGAACCAACAATCTTCAATGAAGAACAAGAACCAGAAAAACAAACAGAAGAACCTTCTGAAGTAAGCCAAGAGCCTGAAAATCTTACTGAACCTGTTAAACCAATTAAACCTGAAGAACTCAACTTAACTCAAGAAGGTGATTCATCGAAATCTGATGAACCTGTTACACAACCGCAAGAGCTTGAAGTTGAGCAGCCGGTCAAAGGCACTTTAACGCCAGAACTATCTTCTACAGATGAAACAGAAGACAGCGACAAGCAATATCCTGAAGAAAATATTACCGAATCTCAAGATACTGAGACCGTTACGGAAACTGATGTGTCCCAAACAGAAAGTAAACAACCAGAGACACCTACAACCGAAGAGCATAAAGAAAGCAGCAGTGAGAAACCTGACAAATCCAGCGAAGAACAGACCGACATTCCAAAAGAACTAGAAAATGTGTCAGAAGTTGGCGAAAGTGATAGTCATGAATCCAAGGAACCTAGTGAATCTGCCACTGAAGGAAGTGAATCACCAACGGAGAAATATACACCAAAAGATGAAAAGGAATCTAGCGAAATACCAGAATATTCAACACCAACAGATCAAAATGAACTGGAAAAAGGTGAAGCACCAACAGAAGGTGAAATGGTAACAGAGAAAGAAAATGAACAACCAGAACAAAAACCAACAAAAGAAGCTGAATTGGAAGCTACAACCTTACTTCCAAAGGAAGTTTCTCAAGAAACAGTGCCGTCAGAGAAAGAACAAGAACATACGTCTCCTACAGAACCTGCTGAAACTGAGTCACATCCACAAGATATCCCAGAGGCTAGTACTAAACACGATGTAGAAGAGACAGCTTCAACGGAAACCTCTGTTAAAGACAATGAAGAATCAGTTACTCAAGCACATCACTTGTCAGAATCATCGTCTCCCGAAAGTACAGAACCTTCACCTGTTACAGATGAAAGTCCAAAAGAACCACCAGCACGTGATGTAGCACAAAGAATACCTGGTGAAGGTGATGCAGATCAGGAAAAACCTATTGAAAATGAAATATCTGACGATTTAGAACAAACAAAACCAACTGAAGCGGAAACAACTAAACCTGAACTTTCTGAAAAAACAATTCCAGGGGAAGGTGCTTGTTTAATTGATGGGCAAACGTACGAGAATAATTCTAGTGTTCCCCCAATTAGTAAATGTCAACTGTCTTGTAAATGTACGAGTTCAATATTGCAGTGTGAATCAGTGGCATGTAATCCAGCTCCCTCAAATATGGAAAACTGTATGCCAATCTACAACAGTCCAGAAAGTTGTTGTCCAACCTATAGTTGCAGTAAGTAATGATTTAAAACCTTATTTCAGTATTTAAAATCTATATTTTTAGCTATGCCAAGTACACCTGGATTGGAATCTGATAGCCATCTAATGGAGGAAGTTACCACTGCGGAACCTGCACAAAGACCTGAACCAACACTAAATGAAAACATCACACCATCACATGAAAAGGAACCCGAAGAAACGTCATCAAGCAGTCTCGCATCAGAGGTTGGACTAAGTACGGAAGTTCCAGTAAAAGAAGTACAACCAGAAGTTGAAACAAGCACACCTATACACGATCAACAAACTCTGAAAACAATTGCCCTTGATGATTCACATCCAACTGAGGAACAACTAGATCATGAAGAAACTGATGTTTCAGCACCAATTCCAACACAAGATACGTCTAGTACACATTTAGATGATGCTCACGACGTTGTGGAGAGCGAAGGCAGTGGAGAAATGGAACCTACTGAAAATATACTTCCAAGTCAACCCGCAGAGAAACCAGAAGAACCTTCTGAAGCTATACCCGAAACTGATGAATCGGAAAAAGAACCATCTGAAACATCGGATGCTAAAACACCAGCACCAGAAGAAAGTGATGCTTCAGTTACCGAGCAGGAACACGTAAAAGAAGACAGCGAACAATCCAAACCAGAGGATGTAATAACTGAAAAGGCTGACTCTGAAGAACAATCAATTGTTACCACTGTAGGAAGTATATCTGAAGATGAACAACCATTAACGACAAAATCCGATAAAGAAAAGCCTGAATTATCACATGAAGTTCCTGAAGAGGATGTTCCTAAAGAGGAGAAACCTGAAAAAGAAATATCTGAAGATAAAGATAGTTTAACAACCGAAGAAACACAACCTGTTGAAAAAGAACCAACGGAACAAGAACCAGAAATCAGTACTGAACAGGCTCCTAGTGTATCCAAGGAACAATTGACAACCGTTGCACAAGAAATTATTCCAGAAAAAGTTGATTCAGTATCTACAGCGGCACCTAAACCAACCGAAGTTCCACAAGATCAATCGCAAACTCTTCTACCACCTGTTTCTGTAACAGAGGATTCGGTAGACGAAAAACATTCTCCAGCGCCTGAAGATTCAGAGGATCTAGCTTCTACCACTCAATTACTTCTAAGTGAAGAGGAACTGGCTACTTTTACTCCACTACTTACAGATCAGAAACCAGAAACAGATGAGAGCAGCGAAGAAGATCTAGCTACTACCACTCAATTATTCCTAAGTGAAGAGGAACTGGCTACTTTTACCCCACTACTTACAGATCAGAAACCAAAACCAGATGAGAGCAGCGAGCAAGAAGCAACAGAAATAAATCAACCATCTTCGCCTAGTATATCTGATGAAAATGAAGTAGTTCCAGAAACAAATGATAAACTTGAGGATGAAGTAGAAATTAATACTCCTGAATCAATCGATGTAGTAACTGAAGCCGAAAAATCAGAAATCCATACCGAACTACCACAAGAAGCCAGTTCTGTGCCGGATCTTAATGAAATTCCTAGCATAACAGAACAACCTGAAGAAGAGAAGAACGAAGAAGATTCGTCTTCGAAAGCAGTTATTAGCCCAGAACCTGGTACTGAAAGTAATGATAAACCAAACTTAGATCTAGAAGAAGATAATGAAATCAAACCAAGCTCAGAAGTGAACCCTATTGAATCATCACCTACCCAAGAACCGGAAATTTTAGCGATAACCACAGAAAGTGAACAAAAACAGGGTGATCATGAAACTGAAAAACCTGTTAGCGCTGAAAAGGATGAAAGTGAGGAAAATGAACCAGAATCTATTCCTACTGAAGTACCTGCGGTTATAAAAGAAAATGAAAATAGTTCGGAGGAAACAGAATCGGAAGAAGATAAAGATTCCAAAGAAAAAGAACCAACTAAAGAAGAATCTGAAGAAGATAGCTCCGATGAAAAGGAGAAGGAACCTGAAAAGGAACACGAATCTTCATCTCCATCCATTAAACCAGACGAAGAAAAACCAGATTTGTATACGTCCCCTCCAGAACCTGTGATAACAACGAGTAAACCCATCAAAGATGGTGAACTTATGACTTCTCCTCCAATTGTGCCAAGTGAACTTGAACCATTGCTGACAACTCTTGCCCCACATTATCATGTCACTTCTACCACACACGCTCCAGATTATTTTGTAACGCAACCAACAAAACTTCCTGAAGAAAGCAATTTAGATACTGAGACTACGCCAGACGATGACTACGAAGATGAAGATCATGGAGCATTTGGACCAGGAACATGTAGATACGGTGGAAAAGTTTACGTCTCTGCTCAACAAATACCAAGAGATGATCCATGCGATTTCTGCTTCTGCTTCAGAAGCGATATTATTTGTTTGCAACAGAGCTGTCCACCTCCAATTCCACGGTGCCATGAAGAACCCATCAGAGGATTCTGTTGTCCAAGATATGAATGCCCAGTTAATATGGGAACGTCAATTAATATTACAACTACCACTACTACCACTACAACAACACTACCTCCGCATTTCCTGACGCACGCGTATCGGGGATTAGCATCTAAGAATGGATGTTTCATCCAAAACCAATCTTATAAAGTAGGAGAAGTTGTTAAATCTGCATCTGGACCTTGTCTCCACTGCGTGTAAGTATTATTTCATATTAATAACTGTTATCGTTATGAAATGTTGTTAATTTACTCATTTATAAACGTTGTTATAGATGTGGAGGTGATGGGCAGATGAAGTGTGATCCCAAAGTGTGTAGTCCGGAGCCAATGCTAAGGCAAATGATGGAGGCGTCAGTGTCGAGGAGAAGATGAGCTTAAGTGATTTTTAGTGACAATGCACAAGTCAAGGCGGTATTGTGCAAGTGATATTATAACTCGAACAGTTTTATAATTAACAGAGACTCCTTATTACATTGTAAACTGATCTACTTGCATTCTCGGGTGCCAAATCGAATTAAGACTAGGTATTTCGTGCCTTTTTGATGAACCAATGAGAAATCAAGGCGATACCTTAATCGGACGGGGACAATCAACGCACAAGGGTTACGCACACGTCAACGATGATCGAGTGAATGTGACGAGTCCAAGTGATCTTCAAGTATACTACACATAACACATAGCAAAACAAAATAAATAACAAGTAATAAGTAATAACAATAATAAAACAGGACATTACAAGTAAACACAGACTGTGAATAGTTCGCGTGCCAACAAAACGCAATTCTGAGTGACTGATCACGCCGGCAATATGTATACACAGCATTTTGTAACTAGAATTTTTTTGGATGTGTCGTATTTTGATAGCCATTTAATAATCCCGAAAAAATCGTGGGTCCTTTTATATAATACCTTTTAGTGGTTTTTATTATATTTCTTGCGTATCCTACGCGGTCTGGACAGTTTGACAGACAGAAATGTACTTCTTTCGTTCATTTACTTATATTGTCTAAGCTCTTTTTCCTCTTTTTTGTCGTTTTTATATAGTGTGTATATTATATTTCTGTCACTTGAACGTCTAGACTACAATATGTATATTCACGGATGCTCAAATATACAATTAAATATGTAGTATTTATCTATAATTAATAAATTATGTACATTACTACTACTTGCTTTATTTTATTACAAAAGAAACCCAAAATAAAAGATTTTTCCTTTAACGAATTAAATAGGATAAGAATTGTTACTTGTCAATACAGTTAATTATAATATTAATAACATTAATAATTAGTAACACATAAACTGGGCTTGAGTAATATCTGGATCAGCTCGCTTTCATGATAACCTCACTCAAATTTATTATCATTTCATACGATTATTATCACACGAATCGGAATATAGTAGTCACCTTAATCTCTTTTCGCAGTAAAGCTCAACCTTTGCATATTCTTCAGCTTTATAAAAGCTTCTACAGATACTTCACTGCCTTATCAAATATCCATTCTGATCAAAATCTGCGAAGTTTGTTAAGAGAAGAGTAGTATTGTTAAGAAAGTTCTTCGAGTTTTTTCAGATTATTTGCGCTTAATGATAGCAATTTCATCTTTGTTGAAAACGTCTTTGGCAACTTACTCTACTACTACTTTGGATCGAACCTCACCTTTTTGGGCGTTCTTAGCGACTCAAGAAGCTTTTGACAAATTGTTGCACAACGTCTAACGAAAAATGTAGATGTAATGCAGATCAATTATGCCTAAGTAAAGGAAATCCAAAAGGTGGTGATTTTATTGAGATTCTTTGGCGGTTCTGTATCATCAAGGTGTTTAACAATTACTTCTAGTTTTTGCATAACGATGATTTTCCAAAGGAATTCTCTTTAGCAAAAAGATGGAATTTGGCAGAGTAGCTTTCTACTACAAAGACACCTATCGTATTGATCTCTGGCCAAAATATGAATAAAACATGGTATTTGTCATATTTGTGAGTGATAGCAGCAAACTTTAAACCTCAATTGTATAAATGATCTGATGCGATTTCATTGAAGATCCTCCCTTGATACTAAATTTGTCGTTAAAATAAGTAGGTTCAATGAAATTTGTTATTACTGTTGGAATTTCTGCATTACAAGCACTTTCACAACATATTATTTTGAACAAACTCTGAAAATAGACATTTTTCTTTACGTCCGTATATAGTGACATCTACAACCTCTTCATTACTCTATTATTACAGATCTCTATAAAACATCATTTTTAAAATTACGTAAAATCAAAAACATTAATTTATTACAATTAAGTACTTATTTTGTACATACATTACATAATTTCCCTTAATCAATCCTTAACTTAAATTAATATTATTGAAAAGAAAAAAAAACAAATAAAACAATCACTTTGACATTTGACATGTCAAATTAAAGATCATTGCAACACAAAAATGCAATATTCAAGCTTTTTAAAATTTCCGGAAGTATTGAAATGCACTTTAGACCGATAAGTCAGTACCTAGTCAAAAGGAATTTGAGCAAATCGGTTTTAAAACATCAAAGCCGAACTGCGGGAATTATAAGTAAAAAGTGAGGTTATGTTTTGAACTTAGGAATTATATTAATTTTTTTCTAGTTATTGGAGATGAAATTCTTAAAGGAGAGGTAACTGACACTAATTCTACATATCTAGTCAAACAGCTTTACCAACTTGGTGTTCGTGTTAGAAAGGTATTCAAGATTAAAAAAAAACTTTGAGTTAAATGAAATCATATAATAATATACAAAAGATTTCAGTTGTAAGTGATGATATAAAACAGATAAGTGAAGAAGTTCGATCATTTTCGGATAATTACACCTATGTTATAACATCGGGAGGAATAGGACCAACACATGATGATGTTACATTTGAGGCTATTGGATACGCTTTTAGAGAACCTTTAATTGCACATCCAATTCTAGTTGATATTTGTAGTAAATATTATGGTACAAAGGATTTGGATAGTCCAGGAATGAAATTAGCACATGTAAACTTAATATCCAAAAATATATAGCTATGTAAAATATGTTTATTTTAGATTCCAAAAGGTGCTAAATTAATGTTTGGGGAAGCAAAAACTTCATATCCAAATATATCAGTTAAAAATGTGTACATTTTTCCTGGTATTCCACAATTACTAAGGAAACTATTCGAACAAATTGGACATAAAATTTTCACATCACACGAAAAGTTTTATACAAAAGCTATTTATTTTAATGTTACTGAAAAATTAATTGTAGATGTTTTAAACATTTTAGTGAAGAAATTTCCAACTGTTATATTTGGCTCCTATCCAGAACTTGAAAACAGGTGATTTTTTTTGTTATAATGTTATTAAAAACTATTTATAATCACTTTTTTAGCCAATATAAAGTGAAAATAACAATGGAATGTACAAATGAAGAAAAGCTTCAAATTGCCTATAACACAATGATTAATATGATGCCCTCAGAGTATATCGTGAATGCTTGATTTTATTAAAATACAACAATAAACTTATATATCCAATAAGTTTTAGTCTCTTTAAAACCATCTTGTCAATGGAAATAAGTTGAATCGATTTGAATGACGTATATAAGACAAGTACGAATGCTGCCATCTATTAACAACTTTGAATACTTACGTTTTAAAGAATATTGCAATAGATGGCGCAGTAAAAATAAGTTTATTTTGGTTAAAACAAATATTTAGTTGATTTTAATCAAATTTCTTATATTTCAAAAATCTTATAGCAATAATTATTTTAAAATATCGCTTAATTAAACTTACATATAAATCGAAATTATAGGTTAAATTATACCTAACCTCACTTTAGTTTGTTTACATTTTGCTTAAGTTCCTCAAACATTGCATGGGTTTGGTTAATTGTTCAACTATCTAAGCCAGCATACAAATCGTAAGTTAATCCAATTTATTATTATTCAATTCGATTAATATTCGATTAGAAACTTATTACAAACATAACCTAAAAGTTAAAGTCGCGTGCGCGTTATTCAAATGTTTAAAAACAAATGAATCGTTGTTGATTTTAAAACATTCTTAACTGAACTTTTAACTGGTAGAATTCGGTCGTTGTGAATACAGATTCAACTTGAAGGGCGTATGCAAATTCGCCTACTCTTGTAAATAATGGATACATGTCTCTTTGGGGAACGAATTTCATCTATTCGCGAAAGCTTTCATTTCCGTTGAAGTGGGCCTAAGAGACTGTACTTGAGAAAGATTAAAAGAAACGGATCTTGTAGATGTATTAAGTGTTACTCGGCGATTTATTTTATTTGCCATGCAGGAATATTTACTTAATTGATCTATCTTACTATGGTTATATCGAAAATTCTAACCTGATAGAGACATATATGTATACTTATGATAAATTTATTTTGTTCGGTTAAAATTAATTTTTTTATATGGTAAAACTGGTAAAAATTTTCACCAGTTCTGGTGGAATTTGATCACAACCTACAACCTTCCCCAACTTCAAAGCTTCCAACTTCTTTAACCTCTTAATTCTTCATCTGAAATATTTTGCATCTCGCTTTCTCCCAGGATTTAAGACATTTTCAAAGTGTTATTTTCTCGATTTCTGTGCTCAATATTTACCTTTCATGTTCTTTATTTGTTTCAAAACTCTCTGCTCTCCCATTTCTGATTTTTTTTATGGTCTTGAAAAACAGCTTGCGGTTTTCTTTTTATTTCTTTCCAGTGTCTCGACGAACTTTTCTCAGCTCCCCGTTTTTGTCCAATACTATTTGTTTAGTCTTTATTGTTTGATTTTTGATGCGCTGTACATTAAGGAAATGTACTAATATTAACGTGAAGATAACCCAATTCCAGTCTTGGAATGAATTCAACTTATTCATCTTAAGAATCCTAAAAATTATGGATCATGTATGGAAACAACAATCTTTATGTGCGAAATGTAGTACTTCTGTACTTAGATACTCCATCTTAATTCAGAGCCTTAACTCAAAGCGATAAATGTACATCAATAATTATAACCATAACATTAATTATGCTGTAATTATCTTCAGTAATAAATAAGTATGATTAGAAAGTTATTTCAATTTCTATTCATCCACGTCTTTCTAATCCTATCTAATAAGTTAAATTTTTTTATGTAGTCTCCTCCAACTTTCAAAAGGCAAAGTTTAGATTTTATGTTTTATCTCAACTATACATATTGTTTATTATTCTTTCTTTTCTATTATCATCATTTCTACATAGTTAAATCGAAAACAATAAACTTTTTATTAAATACTATAATTGAAGGAAAATCTATTCATATTAAATGAACTTATACTCGGTAGTCCGTACGGTGTAAGTCTATAGATTGAAACCAATAGGGTGCGTGATTTAAATTGCAGAGAACTTGTCGTGTATGTCATAAAACGTAAGTAGAACGCTCGTAAATTTTAATAAAACCCCGAATGTCTGAAATTAACCGTTCTAATATTTATGAAGACGGTAACTGCACACGCAATTACAATAGAGAACGTTGTAGCTTGGTTCTTTACGGTAGTTTTTCAATCGTACTTTTTCCTTTTTTTAAACCTCCACATTGTTTTTTTTTATACTTTTTTATTCTTTTTAAAAACTTTTTTTTCATGGCGTCCATTGCGGGGCCCATTTAGCTTTAATAAAAAACACTTATCAATCATGCACTCCACCCGCACTTACTTCTCTTTTTATCCGTTCCGCGGCGTATTTATGTACAGTATTTTTTATTTCGGACACCGGAACCACCGCGGTGGACTCACGTACTCGTTACGGTGAATAATCGCCGAAAGTTACAATTACAAATTTCCAAAGTTACGCGCGTTCATTTGCATTTTTATTAAAGTTTTAATTTAATATGCAGATTTACGAGGGCCCATTGCCGAACTGCAGTTTTCAAATAATCGTCTCGAAAAAATATTGTTTTTGAGTTAGGAACTGAACGGTCGGTTTCGTTCCTTTTTTCAACAAAACATCGCATCCAACAAATCAACTATTTTCAACCTCGAAAGGTAACACCATAACCCAACATTGATGCTGCGGAATTAAATGTAAGCAAACCGATCTGTTTACTGAGCAAACACCATGTAAACTAGAATTCTAACCAGAAAGATGAAATAAATTTGAAACTATAAGACTATTTGAATACTAATACTACTTTGCACGAAATGATTAAATCGCATAGTGTAATATATTAATTGGTTTTAAAATACTTTATTGTTACTAATAAATTTAGAGACATTGATTTCTGGAGCTATATTTCGGAAACTCTGGTATTTATTGACGAATTTGCTTTTTTTTTGCAGCGTCCCAGTCAATAAGGAATTAATAGCGGCGGATTCCCATTAATCAATTATGTCAAGTCCAACCCATTTAATGTATGAGAACATTTCAAACTACTTCACTTTCACATGAAATTAGACTCAAGAACTACACCCATCAAGAATTAGACTACAATTTTGAAACTTCGGTAAAATAATGCTTTATTATCAACTAAGAAACAATGAAAGTTTAGTTGAAAAAACAAAACAAAAATTAACATTTTTCAAGAAAAAGCTAGCAGTGGATTGCATCCCCACGCGCAGCTATGCATGCATTAACTCTTCTAAACATGCTCTCTATTAAGTGCTCGTGTCCGCCGACCCATCATATCCCATACATGTTCAATCGGCGACAAGTGGTGACCGTGCAGGCCAGGGCAAAATATGCAATCCAGCATATTGCCCCAGGAACCTTCTTGTAACTACAGCAGTTATGCATTATCCTGTTGGAAAGTGGCATTCTGCAACGTCTTCATGAAAGGTACTAACACCGGTTCCAGAACGTTGTCGATGTAACGACATGCGTTTAATGAGCCTGGAATGAACGTAAGAGGTGACCGTCCAGCACATATTGTTCCCCAAACCATAACCTCAGGTGTTAAGGCTGTGTATCGTCTTTGAACGAACTCCAAATGCCGTTTTTCCCCTCGATGTCGCATCCTTCTACTACTATCATTCATTCATAAACAAAACCTTGATTCATCACTGAAGATGATGTCATTCCATTGATGAACCCACCCTTGCCGTTCTTGGCACCGTGCAAGTCTGGCTGCTTTATAGGGAGGTGTTAATGGAAGCCGAAGGTAAGGACGGTATGAATGAATCCCACAGGAGGAAATTCTTCTGTAAACAGTTGCCATCGACAAGTGTCGGTTCAAAGTTGTCGTCCAATCCACAGCAATGACGACCTTGTTGTTTGAAATCGACCCCTGGTAGCCATCCGCCTTCACGTGTGTTGCTTCTTCGGGCGGGTCTTCAAACAGGACGGCGTCTCTGAATACCTTCTTCGGACCATAAAGACCATATCTGAGCAACTGTAGTGTGGTCCCGATTCAGCCTTCTCCCAATCTCTAGGAATGAGAAACCCGCCTCTTTCATACCGATAATTCGGCCCATATCAAAGTCACTGATATGGGCAAAATTTCGACGACGTCGCACTAGAATCATTACAAGGCGTCTACTTAACAGTTTGACAATGAAATAAAGCGACATATTATGGGCAGAAATTCATTAATAATTGCTAGGAAGAAAATATTGAAAGATGGAGATAACAATGGTACAGAAAACATAACAGTTGAGTTTTTTCGGCTGAAATTTTCATTTCAAGTTTCAAAATTGTAGTTTGTTTAGTGGGTGGTGGATTTCATATGAAAGAGAGCATATATGATCCATGATTACAACGAAGAAAAGCCATAATAATGTTTCTATATTCTTTTGAGTGACTTTAGTAATTCGGGTTTAGCCGTCTTGAGAGACGTGCGGCTAAATCCGAATGTTTCTAGTTCTAGATCTAGTGTTAGTTCTAGTTTTACACTATCACTGGAACTAACACAAGACTAGAACCAGAAACATTCGGGTTTATCCATGAGTCTCTTAAAACGGAAACTCAGAATTATCATAAGGACTTCACCTTTTCCAAGCAAAATTTTTCCTTTGCAAAACTACCCAATGCTTGTACTATTAAACTATGTTGCATTTTATGTGGGACAGTGTAAGTGCATAGTAGTTTCGTAACTATGCTTACTCCATTCATATATTGCGAGTTATATGAAACTCCCAGTATATGACATACAACGATATTACTTTTTACCTGATATTGTGATGATATTGTAATGATAGATGCTTTAGAAATTTCATTCTTTTTAATTCGACGTATGAAAAGTATATGAAAGTATTTTCCATACTTTTTTTTGAAAACAAATTTATTGTAAACAGTTAAAATGTAATATTGTTTTAAATTGTAATAGGGGTATAATAATGGTTACGTTTTGAATTACGCAACAATAAATAACAACAAGCTCATGTTTCTGTTTGTAGAAGTCGTGAACGTTACATAACACGCATTGTTGCCTTCAAACATAGGCGCTTCAAATTAAATCATTACACACACTATTGTCCACAACGCCGGATTCCTTTGAACATTGATATATTCTAAATACATTGTTACAAGTGGCTAACAATAATGATAATTTATTT